GCTGCAAAGCGGAAGTCTCTGCTCCGCATCCGCAGCCCTTTCGGCCAACTCATCCATCGAAGCGATCGTGCCCTGGTGCACCTCAAGGTCCTCTGGGCTGTCATTCTCGATGTTGTAGCCATGCCCCCAGCGCCCTTCGTCGTTGGTGTAGCCTAAGGCGTAGTCTCTCTTGTCATAGCCGACCTTCTCTGCTTGCCCTTGACGTGCCTGGGCCATCGCTCCTCTTCCAAAACTTGCACCTTCTTCAGGGCCCAATGATTTCTCGAACCCCTTGTTCTTGCGTGGTGCTAACAGCTGGCCGTCAGCAATGGTCATCCCTTTGGCCAAATCTCTTTGGCGTTCATGTGATTCCCAAAGGTATCCATGGAAGGCGTCGGAGTTCCACCCGCCATAGCGCTTGACGCTGTCCAAGTCCTTGGTGGCTTGATACATAGCTGTAGCACCACCAATCCGCAAGCTGTGGGATCCATATCTGGTCGTGGATTGTCCATCTGCCACCGCTGCGAGTTGGATCAGGCTCTGGATGTCCGTCCTCTGTAGCGGTTTGCCACATTCCAACCTGAACAGCGGGAGATCGGCTTCAGCTCCAGCAAACCGTTCTGGTTTCATAGATTGGTAGTCTGCCAGGGCTGCCACCACACAGAGCTCATTACCGCTCCTGAATTGGTTGCGAACTGTACCTTGGTTGTACTGATCGGTCTTGGAGCCCTTCAAGTAGATCACGATCTCCTCAGCCTGGTGGAAGTTCGTGACCTGATTGTTGTTTTTGCGAGCCTCAACGTCGGTCCCCTTTAGCGTCCTCGAAGTCCCCCACGTACGACCCATCGTCACCAAAAACTCCGAGGCGCGAAGCAAGAAGAAGAAGCCCACCATAATCGCTGCCCATATGATCACTCGGTCAGCCTTGTCGATGGATTCGCTTGAATTCAGATGCCTCCTAATCCAAAGCAACATGGCTGGTAGCACTGGATACTTCCTCTTGGTCTCCGGCTGCCACCGCTTGTAGCCATTGAGTGCCGCCCACTTGTGCAAGGTCGGGTCCTCATGTCCTGCCACCAGGTGACCCATCTTGATGGCGAAGAGCCTCTGTTTGATGGTGCCTTCGGTCCTTTTCATGACATGGGCCAGGTATGTCATGAACCTCAGGAGTTCGTCCTCATCAGCCTTGCGCTCATCCTTAGACTCCCCCATAAGGTAGACGTTCTTCTTGCCCATGCGACGCCACAAGCACCATTGCTTCCAGCCAACTTCATATCCTGCACGAGTCCCCTCCGAGAGTTTGGACATCACTGCTTCAGCTGCGAGAGCATCCAACCAAGCCTGATCATGGCGAAGTTCTCTGTTGGCATCCAGCTGGAGGCGTTCACGGCTGCGACCAATGGCGCTCGGGAGCACCAGTCTATCAGGGGGTGCGGAGTTCGCCCTTCTCGCATTCGGCTTTCCTTTGCCCCCAACCTTCTGGAAGTCGTCCCCGATGCTCCTCTGAGATGCCAACCACTTCTCATAGCCCGTCCTCGGGTTTTGGTTGTCCCCTTGCCACGCTCTCATCCAAGCTCTCACCTGGTCATCAGCCTTGTTGCGATCGCGATCTCGGCAAACTCCAACCTTGCCATGGGCTTCCAAAGGTTTGTCAGCCTCCTGGCGCCAGCGCTCAAACCAGGCAACCAACCGGTGGGCGCTCTGCTGCGGGAACTTCATGGCTGCTTCCTTCTTGAAGAACTCCCTGTCCGCTCCTTCTTCGCGAAGTCGATGCAGTTCTTCGAGACGCCCTCCATTGAGAATCCATTCTTCCTCCTCACCAACCCTGCGGGCTTGCACTCTTTCACCTCGATGGTCGAGCACCACCATAGAACGCCCTTTGCGGCATGTCAATGCTGGGCCCCGGATGTCGTAGAGGAGCTCTTTGGATTCAGTATCCTTGTAATGCCCCGCAGGCCAAGGCAGCATGCGATCCCCCGAAGTGGAAATCTTGCTGTTCAGGATCAACTCGACGTCGTCTCGGAGCCACTCCGGCTTCACCGCCCCAGAAACTGGGTCCAGAGCTCGCTGGACACTAGCAGGTTCTGCTGCACTCCTGGGGGCAGGTCCTGGGTCATGTGTGGGCATCCCATCGATCTCCAAGCGAGCCACCAATATCACTTTGCGCTTGGCAACGGGATCCCCATAGTGTGTGGTCAGGCAGTCGTAGTCCCTCACTGTGTAGCCGAGCTTCCTGAGGTCGGTCTGGAGTTCCTTCAGGGGCCCCTCCTTGGCGATGTCGACCAAGATGTTCATAGGCCGATGCTCCTTGACAAAGTTCTTGACGTAGGATCGCGAGCCTCCCCAACTGTCTTCGGCGATGGAGGCAAATGCCCAGGCCAATTCCTCTGCAACCGAGCAACTCGCTCCCTTTAGAGTCATTTCTTCAAGCACAGCCTCAGCGGGTTTACGATTCCCAGGGAGTCGACACACCGCGCCCCCCCAAGCGAGCCCAGGCAATGGCCCACGGCAATCTTCCCTTTCCCAATTCGATTGCATGCCCCTGTGCGACCACCGGGTTGTAGGAGCAATCGTTCGCACCCTCTTCATGTGCCACTCGACCAAGCGAACTTCCCCCCTGCCACCTGAACACGCCCTTCACGGACTCCTCGATGTAGTGCTCCCACTTCTCCTGGGCTTCAATCTTCCGCCAGCCATCAATCTCCATCTTATCCTCCACAACCTTCTTGGTCTCCCGGCTAAGCCAGTCTGCTGTGAGGTTGTGGTAGGTCCTGATGTAGAAGGCCAAGGTCTTAAAGTGGTGTCGGACCTCCAGCATTCCCAGAACCCGGAGGATGTGCCTCGCCACCATGCACCGAGATTGCCTCCGTGTCAACCACGACCTGACATTCTGGTTGTCCGTGGCATAGGCGATGATCTCCCCTTGCCATGAAGCGCTCTCGCAGCGAGTCCCACAAAGCAAAGCAGCTCCGCCAAGGCGATCTTCATGTCGGGCTCCTCCGCGAGTTCCGGGACCTGTCCCAAAGCACGGAGCATCACCCGGGCGTCCTCGCGCATGTAGTGCTTGGCCTTCCAATCCAATGCCCCGGCAACCTCTGGTGTGGCGTCTCCGCCCACCCAACGAAGTCGTTTGCCCATGCCTGGAAGTGCGAGGAGTTCCCGCGTAGTGAGCATGCTCTCCATTGACGACTCAAAGGTGCCCTCATAAGGAGTTTCAAACCAAATCCGAAGGAGGGCCAGCGTCTCGTCCCAGCACTGCCATGCATTGTCTGCAGCTTGGGCGTCTTTGACATTCGGCCGGATGTAGCCCCCATCACACCTACTCGGGCAGAGGAAGAGGTCCAGGGTGGAGAGCTCTGTACGCAAGGGTGGTATAGTAATGGCGGCATACTGACTGAGGCCCCTCAGCTCCTGCGCGACCTTCAACCGCACCTGTCGCACCCCGCTTTGCAATTCAGGGAGGGCCAGGAGATAACGCATCTTCAATGCCTTTGGCTCCGGAAGCCTGATCGTCATGCTCTCCACATTCATGTAGAGGCCCCATACGATCTGCTCCGTCGCTGGGGTCCCCTCCTCTACCTGCTTCTCGAGGTTCAGCGCCGCCTTGCCCCAGATCTTTTCAATAGAGTGACCCAAAGCATCCACCGCCTGCCACGGGCGCACCCCAAGCATAGGCTCGACCACCACACTGTCGTCCATCAACCACTCCGAAGA